GTGTTTGAGGCTCAGGGGCCTGACGTGGGCTTGGGTCCCGCTCTGGTGTCGGAGACTCCTGTGTGCGCTCCCCACCGTTTGCTTCTCCCTGGGACGCTGAGCTTCCACCGTGGCCTGGTCGCTGACCCTGGCTTACTTCCCCGTAACAAGCCTTGGCCACTTGGAAGACCAGGACGAGAAACCCGTTGAAGTCAAGTCTGCCGTCACTGTCAGTGTCTAGCAGCTGCAGCAGCTTGTCTATGGTCTGGAGACCTTGGGGGACCTGCAAGGAAACAAAACCCGGACCAAAGCCCATTAACCCGTCATATATTCTCCAGTTAGAAACAACAAGCCAGCTCGGCTGCAATCCCCGGGTGTGCCTACACTTATGGCGGGGTGTAGATTGCAGGCACTGCACCCGGCTAACATGGGTATAAAGAGCAGTGTAGCCTGTGAGGCCTGGCGTAGGCAAGTAGAATAGAGTGCCCTACACCCCTGAACCCCCACCGCTCTCTCCACGCCCAAGCTGTGCCTCCCACGTCTACATTGCTATTTCTAGCAGAGGGTCCTGCTGCCCCCCACCCCGCCGCGCTGTGGCCTTTGCCCCTGCAGTGAAAGGCTCCGGAGGTGGGGACGCAGTGGGGAAAGACGCTGGCAGCTCCCCGCTGCCGGAGCCTTTCGCTGCGGCATGTAGCTACACGTGTAGTGCCTCTGCGTCGTCTCAGGGTGAAATGCCCCCTGTGCAGAGGGCCAGCCGAAGGCCCAGGCCCCAGTGAAATCCTATGGTAGCCCTGAGTCAATTGAATCCTATGTGTTCCCAGCTCATTCACAGTTGTATAGAGATAAGTACGGTGTTTGGCTTTACGCCCCCCCGTGTTGCAGTTGGTATTGGTGGGATCGGTGCTGCACCCTAAGAAAGAGAGGAAGGATGACCGTCCCCAGCAGAGAGGAAGGATGGCTCGGCGGATAGCACTTGGAAGACCTGGGCTCAGTTCCTCGCCACAGACTTCCTCTGATAACCCTGGCCAAGTTTCCTGGGTTTCCCTGTGCGCCTGTCCACACTGCCCTACAGTTTGGACCATGGAGGTGTGACCTGCCGAGCAAATCCAAGTGCTGCGCTGTACCTCCCCTGCATGGATGCTGCGGGCGCGAGCGAAAACGTTCCTAGTTCGCATTAGCGGAATCCTCGTCACAGAGGAAAGGGAAATTCTGAGAAAAAAAATCCCTTCCGAAAATTCTGTTTCCGAGTGAAATTTTCAGTTTGAAATTTATGATCTATTTTTTCCTTTTTCACATTGTTTTTATGATTTCTACATTCCTTCAGGACATGTCAGCAGCCGTTGTGCATAAGAAGGCATGTCATAGCGTGTCATGTCATCATATGTCAGAACGGGCAAAATAGTTATTTTATTTTAAAATAGATTCAGGGCAGCTGCCCCTTAGCAGCACAGATTGAAATGTCCCTTCTTTACCAGCTCAGTCAAACTGTTACATTACGACACAAACCGGAGAACAGCCTCTTGTGCAGTCTCTTATATCGGTTACCAAACAAGAACACGTGCATCCTAGAAGAGACACTCATTGCATAGACCTTCCTCCTCCTCACTCCTGAGCCTAGTAACTAGCACAGGTGTCTTGGCAGTGCTCACCACGGTCACATCAGCAAACTCCTGGTGGATGAGCTGTCTCAGCTCCCCCTTGCTCAGCGTGGGGCAGGCGCCATCCTTCTTTGCGAACACGTAGAAAGCATTGATAATGCCTTCGATATTGCTTAGCAGCTGAGTCATCTCCCTACACGTTCGAGTGAGCCTGGAAGACAGGAACAGACATTTTTTCCCCCCAGTGACACTCAACTCAGGTGTAATCTCAGAGCCCATGTGGATGTGCAGGATGGAAATGACAAAGTGGCTAAACAGATGGACAAATGGACAGTCAAAAAGATGGGTAGGTGGAGAGATGGATGCCTGGATGAGTAGACAAAGAGATAATGCCTAGCTGAGCGTATGGAGAGCTAGATAGATGGACAGCCCCATGGATGCATGGCTGGAGAGACAGATGGATAGATGCCTGGACTGGTGGCTGGAGAGCTAAACAGATCAATGGATGACTGGAAAGATGGATAGATAGACAGTTGGTGAGATGGAAGGATAGATGGATGGATAGACGGTGAAATGGAAGGATAGTTGGAGGGATAGATGGATGGATAGACAGTTGGTGAGATGGAAGGATAGATGGCTGGATAGACGGTGAAATGGAAGGATAGTTGGAGGGATAGACGGATGGATAGACAGTTGGTGA